CGGGGGGGAGCGAAGAGAGAAGGGGTTTAAACTCACTAGAGTTGCGCTGCAGCAGCAGCGTGATCTTTCCATTCTATTCTATGGGGCCATAGAGTACAATGGCGCGACACTAGAGCGAAGGAGCTGGGGGCGGGGCTTGCTGCCACCGCCATTTGTTCCCGCTCCTGGAATGGCGCTCCGGTGCGCTCCGGCCCCAAACGACCCTGGATGTGCCGTCCGTGGTATTCCCGTCAAGACTTGTGCCGCCGCATTCTGGATCAGCTGGAGTTTCCGGGTTCGATAGTGCAGCTATGTATCACTGTCTCACTTCCGAAGGATTCCACACACATAGTCTTGTGTTCCATACAACAGCCCTGTAAGGTACTTCACTGTTGTCTCCACTTCAAGGGGCCATGGCTTGCGTAAGGTCTGGTGGGGGTGAGACGCAGTCCTGAGATGTCCTGATCCTCAGTTCCGCCTCTTAGCTCTCAGTTGCCTCTGAGCTCTGGCGTTCTACTCACGTGAGTTCTTCTTGTTTTCTCCAGCGCAACATGGGAAATTCTCAGTTCAAAACCATTGAGGATGACTTGGTGTCGGCCCTCATTCGGTCAGGTTGCATCCCGGAAAATCACGGGGAGGACATGAAGAAAATGTCCTTTCAGAGGTGTGCCAGGACAGACAAGGTAATAGAGCGTAGTAGGGATGCCTCCCAGAGTTCCTGTGAATGGAGGGGACTGAATTCTGATCTTGACGCAGCACTTACTGTGCTCCCTGTTTTTTATTGAGGTTTTCATTTGGTTTGTAATGTGCATAGGAGATGCGGTGGCTCAAGTGGTTAAGACGCTGAACTGCAGGCTGTGGGAGGTCGGTAGTTCAGCAGTTCGAGACCTGAGTGTGCCGCATGACAGAGTGAGCTCCTGTCTCTAGTTCCAGCTCCTGCCAACCTAGCAGTTTGGAAGCAAGAAATTGCAAGTAGATAAATAGGTACCACTTCGGTGGGAAGGTAACAGCGTTCCGTGCGCCTTGGTGTTTAGTCATGCCGGCCACATGACCACGGAAATGTCTTCGGACAGCGCTGGCTCTTTGGCTTGGAAATGGAGATGAGCACCGCAACCCTAGAGTCGGACTCGACTGGCTTTCGAGCAAGGGAACCTTTACCTTTACCTAATGTGCATTGCCCCCAGTTGCTATCCACTTCATGGATTTGAACAAAGTTTGAGCCCAGGGGCACCTTTAAGGCCAACAAATGTTGTTGGCTTGAAAGGTGACACTGGACTCAAACATTGTACTGCAATAAATGTTGTTAGTCTTCATGATGCCACTGGACTCCAGGCATCTGTGATTTGGACCCAGTGTTATTTTTGGTTTCTTGGGTTTCTGATAGACTTTCTGGATTTCCTCTGGCTAATGTCTGTTTTTAAATCTGAATCAAATGCAGGGCGTGTCTGCGGCTGGACAGATTGTCTCTCTCAAGGTCTGGCTGATAGAAGATATCTTGCGAAAAATTAACGACTACCTCCCTGCTCATATAAGAATTCTAGGTGAGGATGAATGTCAAGAACGGGGTTCTGACGCAGAACGTCCTCTCGCTCTGTCCTGGGAAGGTTCTGAGTGGACTAACTGCATGCTTCAAAACATCAGACTCCTCAAATATGGCAAGCAGGCGTGTGTTATCCAAATGTAAAAACAAGAACCGAGTACAATTGCTGTCTGAACAATGGCATGCCTTTCTCTTGAGTCCAGAAGAGCCAGAAACTTGGCTTCTAGTGACTGAGCTTCACTTCTTGGGATGTTTATGTGACGCATGTTTGGTTTGAGAGAAGGTGGAGGGGCTGTGTGACTCAGTGGTAGAGCATCTGCTTGGCATGCAGAGGGTCCCAGGTTCAATTCCTTTCGTCTCCAGTTAAAAGGATCAGGTAGGAGGTGTTGTGAAAGACCTCAGCCTAAGACCCTGGAGAGCTGCTGCCAGTCTGAGTAGGCAGATACTGACTGCGATGGACTGATGGTCTGATGGAGGATAAGGCAGCTTCATCTGGTCATACATGGGGGATGGTTTTAGACGGTAGTCTGGGACCTGGTTTTGACTCGGAGGGGGTGGACCAGATTTGAATCAGGATGTGTGTGATTTAAAAACGACGGCAAAGAATCTTTGTGCGCAACCTCACTTGTAAGGGAAATGTGCACGTTTCATATACAGGTGGACACATTCTGGAAAGGGGAGGGGAGGGAGATGAGTGCGTGCTTTTCCACTCACAAGGACCCCAGCTTTGCACTTGGTGAACTGAATGCTAAACTGGAACGGGGGAGATGGGGCCGTGGTTCAGTGGAAGGGCCTATGCTTTGCAGGCAGAAGGTCCCAGGTTCAATCCCCATTAAAAGGACCAGGTAGCAGGTGCAGTGAAAGGCCTCCACAGGAGACCCTGGAGAGCCACCCCCTGCCAGTCTGAGTAGACAATACTGACCATGATGGACCAGGAGTCTGGTTCAGTATATGGCAGCTTCACGTGTTCATTCCCACAGTCATCCCAAGCCTCAGGAAAACTTCTAGTACTTCCAAAGGTGGGTTTGAAGAGGGGCAGGGAGCCAGGGCGGTGTAGTGGTTAAGAGCAGCGAACTGTAATCTGGAGAACCGGGTTTGATTCCCCCTTCCTCCTCCACATGAAACCAGTTGGGTGACCTTGGGTTAGTCACAGTTTTCTCAGAACTCTCTCAGCCCCACCTACCTCACAGGGTGTCTGTTGTGGGGAGAGGAAGAGAAGGCGATTGTCAGCCACTCTGAGACTCCTTTGGGTAGTGAAAAGCAGGGTATAAAAACCAACTCTTCCTCTTAAGCACAAAATTTGAATCCTCCCCCCCCAGCTCTGAATACGATCTTGCCAGAACAGAATGCGTCTCCGTTGACTTGGAAACCACCTCATTTTGGGGATCCTGCTTATGGGTTTTCTTTCTTTTGCAATTAGGGCTCAAAAGGGTCACGGGAGGATTCAACTCAAAGAACAAATGCGACGCCCGGACCTACTCGTACATGCTGCCGACTTTTGCCTTCGCCCACAAAGACCATGACCCTCAGGACGAGACGTACCGCCTGAGCCCGGAGACCCTGGAGACCGTCAACAGGCTTCTGGCTTGCTACAAGGGGACTCACAACTTCCACAACTTCACCTCTCAGAAGGGGCCCAAAGACCCCAGCGCCAAACGCTACATCATGGAGATGTACTGCGAGGAGCCCTTTGTGAGGGACGGCGTTGAGCTGGCGGTCGTCAAGGTGAAGGGCCAGAGCTTCATGATGCATCAGATCCGGAAGATGATCGGGCTGGTGATCGCCATCGTCAAGGGCTACGCCTCCGAGGCCATCATGGAGCGGAGCTGGGGAGAGGAGAAAGTGGACGTCCCCAAAGCGCCGGGCTTGGGTCTGGTTTTGGAGCGGGTCCACTTTGAAAAGTACAACAGGCGGTTTGGGAACGACGGTCTCCACGAGGCCCTGGAGTGGGCCGACGAGGAAGGGACGATCGCGGCTTTCAAAGAGGAGTTTATCTACCCCACTATTGTAAGTACGGAGAAGGAAGAGAAGTCCATGGTGAGCTGGCTCGAGACCCTCTCCAACCACGACTTCAGTTCCACTGCCTCGAGGACGCAGGTGGACAACCAAGAGCCAAAGGTAATGGAGGGGAAACGGCCTCTGCTGAAGTCGCGGACAGGTCTCAGGCTTGCTGCGGTCTTGGTCTAACCTGCTCAATTTCAGTCACTTTTTTTTAAAAATGTTGATAAGAAATTTGTATAAACATTAATTCATTATATCACAGCATAGTATAAAAGCTGTAACAGATAATGTCCGATAAGAAAAAAATTCAGTACAGGGCCTAACAGGGCGTTACCAGACAAACTGGAATCTCCAATTGTGTTCATGATCGGAATTATTTCCTCAAATTGAACCGTACGGGAAAGTGATGTGTAGATGACTAAACGTATCTCATGTTCCCTCTAAGCTGTGGAGTCTTGTGAGCGGAAATCCTACTTTGTGAGCTACGGGCATTAAAGTTGTGAGCGAGCCATTTGGTTGCTGCGTAAATTAGTTTGCTTTGAGGCCATCCTTCCTGAGCGAGAGCAAAAATCTGTGACCTGGAGGCTAAAAAACTGTGAGCTAGCTCACACCAACTCAGCTTAGAGGGAACACTGATCTCGTTAAAATAATCCATGAAGAATGTTCTGTCCCTCTTCAGAAATACACACAGTGCTGTGCAGAGTAATCAGAAGAGAGGTCCTTTCTCTGAGCAGTTCATAGTCTAAAAAATTCACAAGGTAATACTATAGAGAGGGGAGGAACGGAGGAGGGTAAAAGAACAAAATGATCTCTGAGACTTTGAAGAGCTGCCATTGGTCAGCATGGGGGGGGATGGCTTGATGGGGGCTGATTTATGGCATGAGGGGCCGTGGCTTATCAGTAGAGCTTCTGCTTGGCACACAGAGGGTGCGTGCAGACCAGTTGGAACCGGTGCAGTTTATGCCAGCTGAAACGCGATCACACCTCCTGTCTGCGGAGCCCATCACTGTATACTCGTTCACACACAGCGGGCATCGGCGGTTTGGTTTGGTTTGCACATGTGCATAGGCAGCCATCCACAGAATGGCGATCTTCACGCATGCGCAGAACACCCCGTCTTACCTTTAAAGTTTAAAGGTAAGGACTTGCCTTTAAAGTTTAAAGAGCAAAGTGGCCTCCCTGAGGTCCCGAACTCTTCTAAAAGTTAAACTAAGGACCTTTTCTTTTTTCTTTTTAAACAAACACCGGGGCGAAGCTTTGCCCAAGCGCATATCGCCGAACTTAAAAAAAAAAGGTCGGCAAAAATCGGACGCCTCGGGCTTCCGAACGGAAGTGACTCTACAACGTCGGAGAGCGATCAGAGGGGGGGTAAAGCGATTACAACCGTTGCACTCAGGATACCACCACTTGGGGACCTAGTGGCAGAATGCAACGGTGTAAAGCTCTTTGCAACGGTTAGGGACAGAAGGCAGATGTTCGCTGTGTGAACGCCGGTAAGTACACCGATTCCAACCGGCACCTATACCGTTGCAAATGCCCCGTCTGAACGCACCCAGAAGGCCCCAGGTTCAATCCCCGGCATCTGCAGTTAAAAAGGACCAGGCAGCAGGTGATGTGAGAGACCTCCACCTGAGACCCTGGAGAGCTGCTGCCAGTCTGAGCAGACAGTCCTGACCTTGACGGACCGAGGGTCTGATTCGGTATCAGGCAGCTTTGTGTGCGTTTGTGCGACTTGTTTCCAAAACGACTGATGGACAGTTTGTTCCTTGCCTTTTCAGAACTGCGACCCCGAAGGCAGCGATGGATGCGGAGATGACTCTGACTGAACGGGAACCCGTTTCGGAGCGCGGTGTGTAGTGGGCTGCCCAGATCCCAGCCAATGGTTAGAAGCCTGACCTCTTCCAAGCGGCACTCTTCAGCCGTTTCTTCGATGAATGTAACTGGCCAAACCAGGGAAGAAGAGAGATGTGGGACTATAAACCGATTGCCTGGCTCCCACCTCTGTGGGCCGGAGTGTATGGAGCATTCCTTCAGACTCCGCAGAAGACTGCTTTTAACGTCAGATGGATTATGTCATTTTACTACCTTAAATATACAGGAGAAAATTATTAAGCTGCGTCGGACTGTGAGGGATACACGTTTTTATTATTTCCCCTTTTTATTTTTCAAGGCCAAAGTCTCACTCTCTGTGGGCGCTGTTTCTTTTCTGACTGGACTTTATTCCACAATGAATATCAAGTGTTTTTGTTACGGCTTCCCAGACACAAATCCTCTGCTGGAACCCCAGATTCTGAGTGTGGGACAGCCAACCTCTTACTTCTACTGACTTAAATTGTACGATTACAGGGATTTTTAAACTCAATATTCTCTGTTCTTTTTTTTTTCTAGAAAAAAAATAAATAAAAGCTGCTTATTCCAAGATATAGGAGAATACAAAATGCTTCCATGTTTCTCTGTATGTTGAATACTTTAGAGGGAGAGCTCTGGATAAGAACATAAGAAGAGCCCTGCAGGATCAAACCATTCTTTCCATCTGTTCCAGCATCCTGTCTTACACAAGCTTTCTATGCATGGCAATAGAGATCCTGTGGATCTCTGTAACATTGAGGGACATTTCATAATAAGCAATACTGTGGGGGGAGGTTTTGTATCAAAGTGAAAAGCAATACATTCTCGGTATCATGTTGGTTTTTAAGGCGCTACTGGGCTCTGAAGATATTCCCCAGTTTCTGATGCTGTTTCCCTTCTTCAAGATTTATTTTGTCCGCATGCTCCGTTGGGTATGGAAATCTGATCCCAGTTACGGGCAAGAGGTGTCAGTGGCTGCTACTGACAATGCTCTGTTGCATGTGAGCATGGTCAGTCACCAAAATCTGAGGAATGTAGACGCATGAAGCGGCCATATTCCGAATCGGAACCTTGGTCCATCAAGGTCAGAATCATCTACTCAGACTGTCAGTGGGTCTCAGGTGGAGGTCTTCCACATCACAGACTACAACCTGACCCTTTGTAACTGGAGATGCCAGGGCTTGAACCAGGGACCTTCCAAAGGCCAAGCTGATGCTCTGCCTCTGAGCCATGGTCCCTCCCCCAGTGTACATTTCTGCTGCTGCACTGGTTGCCAATGTGGGGACGGGATGCAGCTTGCACTTTGCCACCTGATCTTTGTGGCGTGTCGGAACTCTACTGAGAGGAGGTGTGCCAGTCAAGGAAGCCTCTTGCCCAACAATAGGCCAGTGTGGAGGGATTCGAGATCTCTTGCACGGGACTTAGCCTTGGCGTATGTGTCTTTGCCTAGGCATTGAAGCATACTAGACATATACCAGGGTGCTGGAATTGCAGGGATGTGGACACGGTCCAAGGGGTGGGTGGGTTGTTTTTTTTTTTGAGAGGGTGGAAGACTGGTAATAAATGGTAAATTTTCAGAGTCTAGGTGAGGTGTAGTGGTTAGGAGCGTGGACTCGTAATCTGGGAGAACTGGGTTTGATTCCCCACTCCTCCACATGCAGCTGCTGCCTTGACCTTGGGTCAGTCACAAGGTCTCTCAGAGCTGCCCTCTCAAGAGCTGTCCTCGAAAGAACTCTCTCAGCCCCACCTACCTCACAAGGGTGTCTGTTGTGGGGAGGGGAAGGGAAAGGAGATTGTAAGCCGCTCTGAGACTCCACTTCTTAGGGTAGTGAAGGGCGGGGTATAAATCCAGTCTCTTCTTCTGCAGTCCCATTTATATCACTCCATAACTATATATTCCCTTTCAAAGCATTACTAGTACACCCCAGTGTCATTATAAGAACATAAGTAAAGCCCTGCTGGATCAGAACAGTGGTCCATCTAGTCCAACATCCTGTATCACACAGTAGCCAACCAGTTCCTCTGGAGGACCAGTGACAGGGTACAGAGGCCGTGGTAGGGTTGCAAAGTTGCAGTGGGGGATTTTATGTCTTCACAGAATCCGTGCCGCGGGGATGGCAAGACGTGTTGCACCCGCCGTTGCCAGGATTTGACACTACGCATTGCTCTGGCAACGGGGCTCCAAACAGCCTGGCGATGGCGGTGCAACGCGTCTTGCCGTCCCCACGGCATGGATTCTGCAAAGACATGCGGATTCCCCGCCCCGATTTGGTGAGATTTGGTAAGCCTAGGCCATGGCCTTCCCCTGATGTTGCCTCCTGGCAATGGTCTCTGAATGTTGAAGTTCCCTTTAATCACCGTGGCTAGTAGCCACTGATAGACCTATCCTCTATGAGTCTGTCTAATCCCCTTCTAAAGCTGTCTATGTGTCACCCCAAGAGGTGGTCTCCTAATTAGTTGGGGAAATTAGTTTTAAAGGAGACAAACCAAGAGGGGGTTACTGGGATTCTCCACCAATGTTTACGGGGATTTTTCCCTTAAGAGAACTCTTACTTCTTTCAGCTACCCCAGAAAAAAGCCTGAAGTTACCGATTCGTCCAAACACGCCCCTGGAAGCGGAAGATACAGTGGACGACCAGGATATGCCAGAATAAACAGATTTTAAAAGGGACCCTCTTTTTTATGTCAAGGAGAGTTAAAACACGTATTGTTATTGTTATATGGTCCCTATTGGAGTTAAAGTATATTAATATTATCTGCCTTTGTTGATAAGTAGTCGGGGTAGGGGAGGGGGGGGAGTGAGCTCGCTGGCTCCAGTTGAATAGGACGTGTCTGGAGGCTGACCGGGAGAACGAGGAGGGGAGGTTGGTCGTTTTATTTCCAGCACACTCAAGCTTAACTGATTTTTTATAAGGTGCTTGGGTACTCTGATTTATAGGTGTGGTGTTTAAACTGGGCACTTCAGAGTGTTTATTCCAATTAATTTGACAACAGTATTCGATTTGACTATTTATTTATTTATTTAGTAATTGAGAGATTAATTCATTGTTACAGGGGGGAAGGGGGTGGGGGGAGTTTCTGAGTCATTAATTATCTTAGTAGTTAGAAATCTGTATATATTATCTGACAGAGTTTTTTTGCTGATCTTAGTACTTACTTGATAGGACACCATACAGCAGCATAAGCAGTAGCATAAGTTGGATCTTAAAGGTCTGACACAGGTATTCGTGTATACAGCAGGACCCAATAAGAAAGCTTTACATATTTTAGCTCTAGTTTGTAATTAAGAGTGGAAGGAGACAGAGCTTGCACTAACAAGTGGGGAGGTTATACCTTCAGTTACTTTTTAATTAAAAAGTCTGCTCCTGGCAGGCGGTACAGGATAATAGTTTCCAGATTAGTGGCTGAGGTGGTATTGGTTTGTTTTTTTTTGGGGGGGGGTGTGCAGTAGTTACAGTCAGCCATGAAGATAACTTCGGTCAACATTAGAGGTCTGAACAATGTTATCAAGAGGAAGAGGTTTTTGCAGCACATCAAACGCACAAGGCCGGACATATTATTTATTCAAGAAACTCATCTGCACTCTGTGAGTGAACCTATTTTAAAATGTAATGTTTATCCCACTTAATTACAAGCCCCGGGCTCAAGCAAGTCTAGAGGTGTAGCAATTTTACTATCCAAGAACTTAAATTTCGATGTTAAAAGTACAATAAAGGACCCGGTGGGGAGGTTTATATTTGTGAAAGGTTTGATGGAGGGAAAGATTTTTACTCTGGCATCGATTTATGCCCCAAATAAAACTCAAATACCTTTTTTAGAGGCGGTATTTACTGAGCTCACACACTTTCAGGAGGGGGAGCTCATAATAGGAGGGGACTTGAACTGTACGGCCAATGCTAGGCTGGACAGAACTTGGTCTACCATCAACAAAGCACGGAATGCGCCAAATAATAGCAGACTAGAACAACTTTTTTCAAAGTATCGCCTGTGCGATGTCTGGAGATCGCTTAATCCAACGGAAAGAAATTATACCTACTTTTCTCCTAGACATTCGATTTTTACAAGGATTGATTATATTCTCATCTCACAAACATTATTACACTCAGTTGTTTCTTTAGACATCGGAAGCAAATATCTCACGGACCACTCCTGGTTGGAGGGAAGAATAGACATCAAAACAGAAAAAGGCTTAGACAAGAAATGGTCATTGGATAGCAGAATTTTATTGAACACGCGAGTGAGAGATAAAATCGAAACGGACTTAAAAAATTTCTTCGCAGAAAATATCACTCCGGGAATTTCTGCAGCTCTGGTCTGGGATGCAATGAAGGCAGTGATCAGAGGCACGCTGATAGTTGAAACGTCTAGATTGCGTAAGGAGAAGGAGAAAGTGGTGAATGAAACAAATAACCGCATCAAGTCTTTAGAAGAGAAACATAGGAAGACAGGCAGTAATAGAATATATCAGGAGCTACAAGCAGAACGGAAGTTATTAGAGGATTTAGAACTTACACAGATACAGAAAAATTTAGTTTATATGAAACAGAGATTCTGGCAAAAATCATCAAAGAACATTAGCATCTTGGCCTGGAGAGTGAAAGATAAAAGTAAAGCTTCAAATGTAAGCGCATTGAAAAACAACCAGGGTGTATTAAAGTTTGCAGGGAAGGAGTTAGCGGACATCTTTGCGGACTATTATAAAGATCTATACGAGTCAAGAAATCCAAGTCGGGAGGCTACTAAGGAGTACCTTAATTCCCTGAACTCACTACCAAAGATTAGTGAGGAGCATAGGGATCTGATGGAGGAAGAAATATCAGCTCAAGAAATTATGGAGGTTATTAAGAACATGAAAAATAACAAGGCCACAGGACTGGATGGTCTTCCAGCAGAATTTTATAAAGCTTTCCGCACAGTCCTAGTTAAGCATCTGGTGGTCACCTGCAACGAAATAATGAGGACAGGGCGGATGCCGTGCTCCTGGTCTGAATCTACAATTATTGTAATACCCAAAGACGGAAAAGATCCAACACTGCCAGCTTCTTTTCGGCCAATATCTTTGCTCAACCATGACAATAAGATATTTACAACAGTCATTGCCAACAGATTTAAAAAATTCATCACGGAATACATTAAACCAGATCAAACAGGCTTCATCCCAAATAGACAACTGACGGATAATATTCGAAGAACGATAGATATAATCTTACATGAGAAAAATAGAAAGGGGGACTCGACTATTTTAGCAATAGACTTCGAGAAAGCCTTTGATTCTCTAGAAACAACTTACATGAGGGATTTGTTTAAGAAGATGGAGTTTGGGGAGAAATTTTTAAGAGTGCTACAAGCTCTATACACGGAAAATAAAGCTAAAGTGAGGGTTAATGGCAGAGATTCCTATTTCTTCCATCTGACGAGAGGAACGAGACAAGGGTGCCCGTTATCCCCCCTGATATTCGCTATGGCAATGGAACCATTAGCTGAAGAGCTTAGAAGCAACACGCGGTTTAAGGGAATAGAAATAAATGGGACAATACATAAAATAAATCTTTATGC